TTCAGATCAAATAAATTATTTCAATTGAATTCAAATATAGATTATTCAAAAGAAAATATTGCAAGTGTTTTGATTGAATTTAATATTATAATTTTTCTATTGGATTCAAACTTGGATTAGAATTATAATATTAGATTTAATCCAAATACTTGATAAATTTTTGTATCATATTTAAACAAAACCCTTATTAATATTTGTTGTGTTTGGTCTTGAATTTTGGGAGCCGACTGTTTTGTCTTGTGTTGATGCGGCGTTGTTTGAGCTAACAACAACATTTGCTGTTATCAAGGAACAACAGAGGATCCGAGCCCAAACAATAGTTTTTTTTTTTTTCTTTTCTTGAATATCATGTGTCCTAATTTTAGTTTTTACCTCATCAACCTATACAAATTTTTTTGGTATGGCACTACCACCCACCACATCTTTAACGTTGACAGTGATGAGACATACACCTCATGAGTGCAAATAATCTAAGAACCCAAAAAAAAAAAAAATACAAGAAGATTGAATTACCTATGGCGATGCTTGTTTGCCCAGTGCGGAATGGTGGTTTGTAAATTTTTTGAGACAGCCTCTGGAGAGTTGAGGGTGTAGAGAGAGAGAGTGTGAGTTGCTGGGTATTGACATACACATGGGTCAAATACATATGGACAACAATAATATAATGTTTATATTGTTGGGAAATTACTTCAAGTAGATAAAAAATAGAACATAATCAAAGGTTTGAGGGACATAAGATCGCTTCTTTAAAGTGAGATTTGCCCCCATTTGAAGAGTTTACTAGAGGGTTCTTGGTAAATCATTTTCGGGATACAACAAAATCTTTGAGTGAAGAATTAAAATTTATAATATAAAATAGGACAAATTTCAATAAGTTCATCTGACGGTCTCAAATAGATTCATTCAACGGTTATCAACATTTCTATCAAAATTATTCATATTGTATCGTATTTTCAGATATGGGTTATGTCTAGTTAGCAATATTGAAGAATTTCCAGAGAGTATGAGGGAAAGAGAGAAGAGTAAATACAAGACTCTAGTGTCAATGTGAATGAAACCTAGGCCCCATTTATAGACTTCTTAGTGTTTTTTCTCAAAGAGCAATGCTACAGGGGTCTAATTTGAGAACTTTATTTAGGGACCTAATGATATGACTTTAATGCAACAATTATATTTGTTATGAGTTTCAATATTAGATGAAACCTACAACTGATTCAATGATATACAACCATTGAATTAATTGTAGGTTCCATCTAACATTGGAACTGACAACTAATCTAACAGTTGCATTGAAGTTAAATCATTAGGTTTCTAAAAATTCTCCAAATAAGGTTCAAATAACATTTCCCTTTCTCAAAAGTCACAACCTTCTGAATATGTGACTTTTCATTAAAAGACATAACTCTTCCAGAGTTATCTTCTGATTAATACTCACGACTCTTTTAAAAATGTGTATTTTCTTAAAAAGCATGACTTTTCTAAAGAGATTTTTTTTCCCCGGTGGTCATTTCTTTTCAATAGTGTCTTTTCCTAATGGTCATAACTATTCAAATAATAACCTTTCTTAATAGTCATAACTATTCAAAATAAATCAATTATTCAATCAAATAATAAAGAAAGTCTCATTCCATAACTCATAAGGTGAAACATGCATTTTCCTAGATGGAATTCTATTGTGTACATGACATGTTGAAAGTAATGCTTCACCCCATAAATCTATAGGCAATTTTGCAGATAAAATCATTGCATTGATTATTTCAACTAATGTCCTTTTTTTCTTTTAACTAAACCATTCTATTAAGGTGTATACGGTACTGATGTTTGGTATATAATACCAATACTTTTCACAATATGCAAAAAAATCATTGGGAAACTATTCTCCACCCCTATAATTGTAGAGAATCTTTATTTTCTTTTCATTTTGATTTTCTACCTCCACTTTATAACATTTAAAGAAACTAAATGCTTCATCTTTGATTCACATTGATTATATATATGTATATCTTGAACAGTCATCTATAAATGTTATAAAATACTGTTTACCACCTCTTGTTAGAACTACATTTAATTCATAAATATCAGAATGTACTAATTCTAATATTTTTTCTATTTCTTTCTACCTTAGGAAAATAATTCTTTGTAATTTTGGCTTGAATGCATATTTCACACTTATTATTTTCTTTATGCTTATATGAAATATATCCATGCTTACAAATACAATTTTAAAGACTTATAATTTAAATGTGCTAATCTAGCATGCCATATAGAAGAAGAATCAACAATATAAGTAAAATGTGTAGACTTTTTATTAATATTATCAAGATTGAGTTTAAACATCCCATCACTTGAATAACCATTTCCAACAAAGATCCTACTCTTAGAAATAATCAACTTATCTGACTCTATAACGACCTTAAAGTCTTTCTTACATAACTGACTAGCAGATACAAGATTTTTCATAATTTCTGGAACATGTAGAACATTGACCAAAGTTAGTTTTTTCCCAGAAGTGAATTGAAGTTCAACGTTCCCTTTTCCAAACAGTTTTATAGGATTGTTATTTCTCATAAGCACTTGTTGATTTACAACACTTTCATAAGTCTGAAATTGATCTTTGTTATTGCAAATATAAACTGTAACCCAAGAGTCAAACCACGAATCAACGGATTTATTGGATGTTCCCATGTGTACTTCAGTAATCATACCAATTTTCATATTTGAAACCATAGCAACGAGATCTTTGGTCTCCTCTTCCATCATGTTTGCAGTGTTTTTCGAATTTGAATTGCCTTTCTTATCATTTTGATGGTATATGCATTTATGAATATAATGACTTGTCTTTCCACAATGAAAACATTAGACATTCTTCTTTTTGGAATTGTTATTCTTCTTAAAACCAGAACCCTTATGCACTTTGAGATGTTTCTAAAATTGCTGATTTTTGTTAGACTCATTTTCAGACACATTGTTCACTTTAGAACTCAAATACACATCATCACATTTTATATTTTCTTCTTTAATCCTCAAATGTTTTTGTATTTGTTTTACATTGAAATCTTTTGTCATGTGCAAAAGTTTGTCCTATAACCATTCCAAATAGGAGGAAGTTTGACAACAAATGCTCCCACTTGAATTTACTCAAGAACTGTAACTTTAACTTCACGGGGTCGATTAATTAGAATTTGCAAATCCTGCACTTAATCCATGATAGGTATGTTATCAATCATCTTAAACTCAAAATATTTTATAATTAGAAATTTGTTCAAATCTTATTTCTCAGACATATATTTTTATTCTAGTGTATTCCAAATTTTCTGTAGAGACTTCAACGAAACATAGAGATCATACAATTGATCGGATAATGTGTTCAAAATATGATCTCAACAGAAAAATTCATCTTCCTCTCGATTCTTTCGCTCTTCCTTTACTTGATCAGTGTCTTTTGCTTTTTCTTTGGGAATATGTTGCAGCTTTGGATTCGATACACAAGTAACCTTCAACGTTGTGAGAAGAAACATCATCTTATTCTTCTAATGAGTGAAATTTGTTCCATCAAAATGATCCAATTTCACAAAGTCTTGATTTATGACTTATGAATGTAGCACTTGATCTGATAGCTATTGCGAATATCACTTTAAAATTGTTGGGATATTACTTCGAGTAGATATAAAATAGATCAGAATCAAGTCTTTGAGGCACGTAAGATCACTTTCTTTAAAGTGATATTTACCCCCACTCAAAGAGTTTGCTAGAGAATTCTTGACAAATTACTTCTAGGATACAACAAAGTCTTTGGGTGAAGAACTGTAATTAGTAATATTAAAAAACTTTTAAAGTAGTCTTTTTGAACAATTTTTTTTTTTTTGAGAGAGTGAGAGGGAAAGAAAGATGAGTTATACAAGACTCTAGTGTCAATGTGAATGAAGTCTAGGGTCCGATTTATAGACTTTTTAGTGTTTTTTCACAAAAGTCACAACCTTCCGAATATGTACCTTTTCATTAAAAGTCAAAACCCTTTTAAAGAGGTGTCTTTTGGTTAATTATATGCATATAAAATACACATTTTAAAATTAAAAATAAGTTCAAATCTTCCAATCTTCTTCATTTTAAATTTATATATATAAATATCATTTCCTGGGACACTGACAACGTCGTTGTCACTGTCCTAGACAACGAATAAAATTCCATTGCTATTGTTCTTGGATGGTGAAAATAACCCACTATCACTGTATTGACTGTTCCAGGGCACTGACAAACGCTATTGTCACGGGGATAGTAAAGTACTCAAAGGCCCATACCACAAGAAATTATTCAAATGCCTATCTTACAAGAACACATACCAAAAAATAATAAAAAATTCTTAATACGGTGATAAGTAATACACAAATCTCTTTAAAGATTACAAGATCAATAGCGATACTTGTAACATATCTAATGACAACACTGATGACACTCCTTACTATAGATGATGAGCCAAATATCCACATCGATATGAACAACATGTGTTCTATCAATTATATTAATGAGTTTAAGGAGAATATATGAGAATATGAATTGACGTAAAAAGAAACATTAAAACGTGTAATACATTGTTTAGATCAAAAAGTGAGATGGAAAAGAAAAGAGATAGAATGAATAGGATGGAAGAGAGAGAGAGGACAGAGAATGAGTAAGATGAAAGAAAGACGAAGGAAATGTTGTGTTGCCCAAGTCTTAGACCAAATTTTGCATCCCAAATGTATGTGCACTACACATTGAATGAGCATCGAAAAGCCGTGTGGTGGAGATGATTCTTTGTTACCTGCTAGGATGTAGCAATGCTTGGCTTGAACCAAGTATATATGTGGAGGCTAATCCATTCACCAGAAACAACATCTTCAACATTATTTGTTAAGACACTGACATAATGGTTTTTACATGGACTTCAAAAAACAAAAAGACATCTCCCTTTGAAACACACTTAGCAGTTTCATACTTTCATCCTTTTAGATATGCTTATATCACCATGACAAACTTGAGGCCCTCCTTATTGATTTAAGCTTCTCAGCTCTCCTTTCTGTCTTTGTTGTGTATATCTGCTCCATAACCTGTTGTAAATGCAAAATAAATCATTACACTTTGTGAAAAAATTACATATATAACAAGTTCTTCTTTCAAGGCTAATTCAGAAATTACCCTTTGCTTTCGTTTTTCTTCCGCTTCTGCCTATTAAATTGAGATTAGAACAAGGAAATATTGGGTTATTATATATTACAAACAAGAAAAAAACTTGTAAAACAAGTTCGAATTATTTTTAAAGAGAGATCTTTCTTTACCAATATATGCTTCAGGCTTTCATTCTCTTCCTTCAGTCGGTTTAGCTCTATTTCGAGTTCTGCTGTATATGCCTGTGGAAGAACAAATTTGATTTTACTGTACATAACAAACTATTTCTTGATGTTTCTCATATTTTTTTCCTATAGTCCAAATGATTTTTTTTTTAAATAAGAATGAAGATACAAAAGTAAAGCATGGAAAACCACCAGTATGCCAACAAGTATGTCCAAATCCCCACTTTGTATTTTTCTGGTGGCCTAGCAGTCCATTGTATCCTTCTCCATGCCCTTTACATTTGATGCCAAAGATATTCTTCATTGACAAGTTTGTCCCAGTGTACTTGCATGCATGTAAGTTACTGGGTTCGGGATAATACTATGATATTGAAAAATATTTTTTTAATACCATATCAGACAGTTTTTTCTCAACTGTAACTTTTTATATGAATAAGTTAGAACTGTTAATCTAAAAAATAAATGAAGAAATATAATTGCAAGAGATGTCTGCCTACATTTCTTTTTATAGTAATAATGTATTAGATGTCAATTATTTTAATATTTTTTATTTTATTTGTTGAATTTAGGGATATTGACAGTTGAGAGATATAATAATGCAACATGTGCAACGATTGACTATACAACAATCCATGATCATTGAAAATCAAAACTGGAACGGTTACGGTTTCAAACAAGACAAATTCTAACTACATGCATGAAAAAAATTGTCGAGATCCCATTTTAGAATGATCCGAATAAGTATCTTGATGCCTTTTATACACGTTTATATTTGTAATTCATTTTAGGTTAAAAAAAAAAGAAATTTTTTTAATGCACATTTATATTTGTAATTCTTTGTAGGTAAAAAAAATTATTCATACGTCTGTTATTGTCATTATTATTTTTCCATATATATTGATGTGTCGATAATATAATATATCTTAAAGTTGTGGATATAGAGATTTATCTACATTACTATAGTACAAATTATTCATTTACATACAGGACGACAATAGAAAAGATGCAAACCTGCTTTCTAGCTCGAGATCGCGCAGCTGACTCGCGATTCTTGATCATCCTGCGCTGTTTCCTCTCCACCACGACCTCCATTGAAGAGCTTCTCGGCCTCCCTCTACCACTCGGTTCACTCTTATCGGACAAACAAATGGATTTTCCTCCTCCAATATGAATGTTAGTTGGTTCACCCACAATCCCAACACTTGGAATGCCAGTTTGGTACATTAAAGCACCATTGTTAACAAAATTATTTGGAATAAAATTTGTTTGGCCTGGGAATTCATACCCCATCACCTGTCCCGGTACAGCGTTCGGTTCCAAAAATGCATTGTTGCTCACTAAATTCTGACAATGGTTTTGGAAAATCTCCAATACCCTTTGTTGATAAGAAAAGTCTGCAGATTCTTGAATGACACCGGCCTTTACTAAGAAATCTTCTAGAGTCATTTCTCCAGCAGTTTGACTGTGCAAAATTGGACCATGATTGTCAAGGGTACCAAAATTGTATTGCTGTGATTGATTCACAGCAATACCAGCCCAAACCTCTTCCACAGTTTTCGAGTACATTGAGGTAGGAATCGAAAAGGAGGCGTTTAGAGGTTCATTTTCGCCGTTTGATGGTTCAATTTCATTGGGATTTAAAGAAGCTTCACTCGGGGAGGCACCGTTGAGTAGTTCCTCCATGTTCATGGACTCAAAACTCTTCCCATCTTTGTCTTGGAATTCATCTATTGAGAGTGAAAAGATGGAGTCTTGTTTGTTTGGTGAAGAAAGTGAGTGGTTTTCTTTTGGTTCTCCTTGTTCCTCTTTTTTGATGGTGTCACAAGAGAGACTTTCAGATTCAGAAACATCCATTTTGAGCGTAAATGTAGAACTTATTATTATTTGTTTAAAGATATGATTCAAAAACTAGTCCAGTGTGCTTTGATCATTTGAAAGCAATGATGAACCTGTAGGAACCAAGGAAGGAAATTAGTCACTAATAGATCCAAAAGAAATAGTTACATGAAATTTGTATGCACAGAAGAGGTAATTAAAGGATATGATGTTCATTAATTGTGTCGACTCAAGGTTGACTCCATCGGTGATAAGCTAGAAGAAGGTTCGGTTACTAAAGTATATATATATATATATAAAAAGACACCACCTTGGATCATGCCAATAACCAATTCTGGCTTACAATAATATAAATTAATGTTCTGTTAACTCTACTGACACGAAATTTAGTTTGAAGTATTGACTCAAAATTTATATTTCTTTCAGAATTCAACATTTTTAGAGTTAGCGTCTTTTTTATTTGCTTGCAATATTACAAAAGGTGATTACTTTTTTATTTGTCATAGGGAATCCTCCCTTACTTGTAAAGCATGGCTTTATCCCAATCAATGGAACTTATTTACTTTCTAGTGGAAAAAGTTTCCACCAAAAAGAAGAAAAAGCCAAGGTTTACTTTGTTGCAATCCCCCTTTACTTGCAATCCCTCTCCAGGTGCTCATGATGTCTGAGTGCACTAATTTTGGACTTGCCCTGACTGAATTAAGTATGCATAAACTGATCACCAGTTCTTCTGTTTATTCTGCTGAAAGCATGTTTGACAAATTATTGAAACATTAGTCCAAAAATGCGTGCGCGCACATAAATAATACACTTGTCGTATACAAACATATATAAGAATATACGAGGGCGAGATTGCTCTATTTTGAGTCAACGTGTGTCATACGTTTTGAGCCACGTAAATAGTCTCTTTCCACGTAAGTGTAAGATTACTTACTTCTGATATTAAACAGAAACAATATCATAGGAATAGAAATTTAGTAACCATTCATCTGCAACAATCACAATCATTAATCATTAAAGAAGGCTTTGAAGATAACTACCCAAAAAGGGAAGGAAACTAGAAAAAGAAAGCTACATAATGAACAATTTGCATGCAAAAAACCAGAAAAAACCAAGCACTTACCTCAACCTCACCAACTACACGAGAGAGGAACGGGGGTGGTGGTGGTGGTTGAGGTTAGGAAGTGTCACAGTGTAGAGGCTATATAGTGTATGATTTGTAGTTGGTTAGGGTGGGCCCTAAGATGTCATGCAGTTCTTTGACACGTTAGTGACACGTGCCACAAGTTTTCTGCCAGTAAGTACATCCCAATCCCTACTTTGTATTTTTCTGGTGGCCTAGCAGTCCATTGTATCCTCCTGCATGGCCTTTTAAATTTGATGCCATAGATATTCTCCATTGACAAGTTTGTCCTCAGGTACTTGCATGCCTGTATGTTATTGGGTTTACGATAATATTATGGTACTGAAAAATAATTTTTTTTAATATTATATCAAACAATTTTCTCTCAATTATAACTTTGATTTGAATAATTTAGAACTATTAATCTACAAAACACATGAAGAAATATAATATATTGCATGAGATGTGTGCCTACATTTCTTTTTATAGTAATAATGTATGGATGTCAATTACAAATTTTTGTTATTTTCTTTGTTGAATTTTGGGGTATTGATAGTTGAAATACAATGATGCAACACACGCAACGACAAACTATACGACAATCCATGATCATCGAAAATCAAAATTGGAAATAGTTACAGCACTGAACGAGACAAATTCTATAACAGTGATGCAAACACGCTCAATGAGAGACTATACGACAATCCAAGATCATCGGAAATCAAATATGGGAATACTTACAGTGCTGAACGAGACAAATTCTATAATAGTGATATAACACGCGCAACGAGAAACTATACGACAATCCATGATCATCGAAAATCAAATTTGGAAATAGTTATGGTACTGAACGAGACAAATTCTAACTACACGAGGTATAATATTTGTCGATATCCCATTTTAGAATTTTTCAAAGAACGAGTATCTTGATGCCTTTTTATGCACGGTTATATTTATAATTCATTTTAAGTAAAAAAAAATTTGCTTTTTATGCACATTTATATTTTTTTCAACATTTTAGTTAATTTCGCAATCTAGGCTTGGGTTTTTGGTAATTTCGGACTTTTAGGGTTTCTTTATTGTACTACAATTGTAAAAGCCCTTGGGAAGAAATAAAATGTCGTGAGAAGCTTTTTCTCTTCTAGTGAACTGTTTTGGTAATCAACAAACTTTTGAAAAGCTTTAGCTTTTTGTTTCGTTTGGTACAGTAAAAAAATAAAAGGATAAAAAAATCATGATTAGTAAGAAAAAAAAATAAGAATGATGAAAAAATAGATGGATAAAATTTTCTTCCAACTTGCTAAAATTAGTCCCTCTAAAATTGAGAAAAAAAGTAAATGAAAAATTAATTATTTGTGGTAAAATATATGTTATTTGTCCATATATCTATTGATATATACATATATAATATTTATCAATTACATATTATATATACATTAAGTTTATATATAGATATAATGATACAATATGTGTTCATACTTTTTTTCAAAAAAAAAAAAATACATTTCCCATTTTACCAAATACAAAAAATCAATTATTAATACTTACCATCATTCATACAAAACATAGAGGAGGGGTGAAAAAATTCCTGTATTGAAAGATCGAAAGTAGATCACCCTCACTTTCTATCCTTTTATTTTTCTATCCATCCTACCAAACCGATCATCAGTCTTATCGATGCTAATCCACAGGATTGAAATTGTTGGGTTATACTGTTTCATTTGATCACCTCTCAGGCATTTGATAAACTTTGTCTAATGAGTTGAATTATTAGTCCTAATGTAATAAACAGGTAATGAATTTTGAGCAATGTTAAATATCCCAAATGGTATGTCAAATCAAATAGGATCGTTGGATTTGTGGTTCCGTTGAGAAAAATTAACGAGAACCGCTCATCTAATAGTCTCTGCACATTTGGAATCCCAAATTTGAGATCCAAAGTATTCCAAATGAAATTTTTAGCAAGCACCTCATTTTTGGTTGCAGGGATCCAAAAAATTAAGTTGAAACGATGATTTGTGGATGATTGCAGACATCTGAGATTTCTTTGCCCCTGTGGTTTTAATATATTCAAGAGGTTACTCATTATCAACAAAAAATGTAAAACAATGCAATCATGTTCTCTTTCTCCACAAATCAATTTACTAACAGGTCATCTAGTTGATGACAAGGAGAAGACATGTAAATTCAGCTGGCTAACTGAGGTTTGTAAAGAGGAGAATCTTCCCCTAGCAAAAGAGACCTTAAAATGGCTTCACATACAGCACTGTCATAGACAAGAAAATGTCCACTACCAGGAACTTCATGGTAGTTAATCCATGGCAGCTTTCTTGAGACAAATCTTTGTATCTGAACAGGCACAACCTTGTCTTCAAAACCTTGCCAGATGTGAACAAGGCTTTCATTTTGAGGAAATGGATTACTCAGAGCCAGTGGGTCGAAATCCCACTTGCCAAAAGCTACAATGAAATCCCGACGAATAGAGTCGAAAACACCGTGCTTTTTCAGCTTGCTCTGTAATTACAAACACAATTGGTATCAAAATTGTTATGGGTTTGGAGATAGTACCTTTTTTTTCCTCATCTTACTTGAATATGTGGAGTTCAGAATGTGTGGAAACAGAGGAGAATGTGCTTTTTGCTCATTTTATTACTAGTAGTCGATCCTGGGTTATTCATGTCCTTACTATACCTTCCCTACTCGATGCGGGTTGGTTATTAGTCAATGCTGGAGCCCTCAGCCTAAATTTTATAAATAACTGGCCGCTTTGAATCTTTAGAATAACTTCATGAATTTCGTAGCTTTATTTAGGAGGCCCAATGACCATAGATTGAAACTAACTAATTTTTACAGAGTGATGGTTGGCTGTTCATGACCTAGTTGTACCTACTATTTCATTTTTTGGGATCAATATCAGCAATGTAGTACATCCACCAATTATCCTTATCCGAATTGTAGAACTATGCCATAATCAAATAAAATATTGAATTCTATGAGCAGAGAAAAAGAGACAATTACCCGACTTAGCAGTTGATATCCTGGTGTATTCTGCAAGACCTCCATGTCTCTATTGCTGAAAAATGTTGGATTCCTATCAAGGACAGAAGACGAGGGGAACAATTTTTGAGTTAACCACCAGCGCAGTAATCCCGGGGTATGGCATGCAAACCAAAGCATCGATAGAGCAAGATTCTTCCTGTAGTCATCCTTTATTAGGCGTTGAGGAAGAGAAGGCCATTTGTAATTGACAAAGGGAACTACCAATGCCACACCTGCAAGCCTGCAAGTACAATTTTCAGTTAAAACAAACTTATTTATTAGGATTTTGGATTTGCAAATGCATAAAAAGTGAAAAGTCTGAAGTGTCTTGTGCCTTTCTGGTATTCGCTTAAGGCAACTCCAGGAGGGGTAACATCCCACAGAGACACCGATCACATAGAACTTGGATCCTAACTGTAACTGATCAGCAAGTTCCTCGATGTCTGATGCTTCACTTTTCATCGATCGCTTTGGATTTGGGTCACTCTCGCCATATCCAGCTCTATCAAATAACAGAAGATATATCCCCAACTGATCCAGCAGTTCCTGGAAACAGAGACACAGTAAGATTCATTTAGGAGTGTATAGTTAATTTGGTGCGGCAAATTGTTTTCGATTTGGAGGTGAGAAGGATTTTTAATTTCTGCTATATCATCAGAAACTAACAAATAAAACTTCCAAGGGATACTGAAGTAAATCTTACTGTCTTCTTATAATCACAAAGTGCAGCTGTCTAGGGACATTTATACAGTGCCTGTTCTACACCGTTTTAGCAGAACAGCTTTCTCCAAAGTAAGAAACCCATTTGGGAACAAGAAAGGAAACCTCAGTACGATTAGGCTAGTTTTAAAAAATTTGCTCCACGATTGTAATAATCAAGGATCAAAATTATGTTTCATACCTTTGGTCACCTAATAAATAGAAACAGTAGTATGGAAACGGATAAAAGTTTAGGAATTTGGTTCCAAAACATTCCGATACATTTAACAAAATATTTTAAAATATTTCAAAACATTCTAAAACATTGGTGGAAACATAACTAAACATCTCGAAAATACCTCAAAACATGTGGAATACCTCGAACCATTGAATTTTAATTCAATTATTTATTTGTTTCGGTCTGCTTGAAAACATAAATATTTCAACCATTTTGAAAGATATCCTAATCCTTGGTTATAACTATCTCAAACGCCAAGATATTGATAGTTGTAAAAAATAAAATGTGAGATCCAACCTCCCAATCTGCTCTATTCAACTCCACTCAAGTCAAATCAACTCAACAAAACGTTATCCCAATTCGATCTGTTAACAAGAAATTATGCTATTTTCGGGTCCATCAGACACCTACATATGCATAATCTATCTGTTCTCTAGTGTCAGATTTCTCAGCCAATTCTTTGATTTTAAGTTTCTTTTACCAAACTGTTTCAGTTTTGTAATAAAGTGCCTAGATTTTATATTCAAGATCAAATTGAGAGTGTGTCTAAAACTTCAGGTCAATATATAAGAGATGTTTAAGAGAGAGAGAGTTGAATCCAGTACCTGGGGTGCCACAAAATTCATCTCTTTGGAGCTGCCAAAGCCATGAACAATTATGACTCTGTAATTGGACTTGTCCTTGGGGGCTCCTCTCTCTGCATAAGCCAAGTACCTTCCATCACTGAGTCTGATTCTAGGTGAAACGACTGGTTGAACTTGAACACCTGATGTTGATTCTGTGCCCTCTGAAGGTGAAGGTTGTGTTTGGTGATATATTCGCAGACAACCCCTCATCGGAACAACAACTCTCCTGAAAACCATTGCTGAAGAAAGGGTCAATCATAAATAAACTCAATCATTGGGCACTCTTCCAAACTCTAAAGAAATGAGGGTCTCAGTAAATTCAATGATTTGAGAAGGTTGGTGATGATCTTTGGGGACTGTACAGATTTTTCATACTCTAAATAGATGAGGGTCTCAGTAAGTTCAATGATTTGACAAGGTTGGGGATGATTTGAGCTTACCAAGTTCAGAAGAATTTCTGATTTGAGTTCTGGAAAATCTTCAGATTCTTCAAGCACTACACAGATGAGGGTCTCGGTAGCTTTCCTCCCTTTTGAGTTTCCAATGGTAGCTTATTGGCATGATGCTATGTGTTACAGCATCTCTAGCATTTATCTTTTTTTTAAACTCAATAATGTTGGAGAAATTTTACTTTGTACCCCAAAAAATTTAAATTTTTTTATTTTACACATTTAAAGGTGAAAATTTTCACATTACTTTCTCAATATTTAAATAGTGTTGCAATGTAACATTTTCGTTACCTTTCATTGCTTATTCCGTTAAAGTCCACCTACTAACGCTGACGAAATGAGTATCAAGAAGTGACGAAAGATCCGCATTGTAATATTTTTTAATATATTAAGAGTGTAATGTTAAAAATCTAAGCTTTGAAGATACAAAGTTCAATTCGTCCAAAAATATTCTAAAAATCTTTTCACCAAATTCTACACGCAAACTCATACAAATTAAAAAAAAAAAGCAAAATTTTATTAAAATTAAAAGAGATTTAAACTTTTATTTAAATCATTAATTATTAGATTTTATTCTCATTTAAAAATCCAATGAGGTCATATTTCCCCTTCCTTTAAATTTGAGTTTGTTTTCTTTTAAATTTAAGTTTATCATCTTTTAAATTTTAGTTTGTTCATTTGTATCAAATTACATTTTTTATTCAAATATAAAAGATGCTCTTATTCAACCTAATTTAACCGACATTAAAAGTACTAACAATATTTTCAATAAACTCTCTATTCTCACTCAATTATATATTTTAAAAAATCAACCATAAAAAATTGAACTTCAATAGGCTCTCTACATTTGAAGAGTTTAACTCACTCTCTATTATATTTTGAATAAATAAAAGATGACACACATACATTTTTCATTAAATGTTATTTATTATATTTTGAATTTTAGTAGAATGATCACAATAAGTCAAATTACAAAATCGAAGGGTTAAATTGTATAAAATCATAACCTCTTTAGCCAGGCTTATCTATTTTGAACTTTCTTCGACATATATATTTTTCAATTCTTTTTTTAGTAGATTATATATTATTCATTTAAGCGAGACTTTTATTTACATGTAATTAGGACTGTTAATCCAACTAAACTATTCAAGCTCAACTTCGGTTTGTTTTTGGCTTATTCAAGTTCATTTATTTTCTAAACGAGTAGAACTTGAACAATTTTTTAAACTCGTTTGAAAAAATAAACCTAACAGACTCAACTCACACTTGACTAGTTTGACTCATTTATATGCAAATAACCATACTCATTTTAGGCTCGGCTCGTTTTTTAAATGAATCAAATTTAAATAATTTTTAAATTTTGAATAAAAAAAAACAATTTTTTTAGACTAGCCTCCAGACTATCAGCCCTACATGTACTTTGGCTGCCAACCTATGTTATGCAGTTGCTTACGGCAAGGAACCCAGAGAGGAATTTCGGCAAAGCACTCCTTAAAAGTAAGTTTACTACATTACAAACAATTACGTTCAAGTATAGATTACTTATGATATTGTTTGTGTATATATATATAATAATAATAATATATGAATCCCGCCTCACGAAAAAAATGTATACATATAATATAGAATCAGCAGTAAAATTACTTCATTATAGTCTATGTGTGAAAAGTTTGAATAATAAAAATAGTCTTCCTACATGCAGGGATAAAACTATATACACTTAATATTGCCTAAATCTTGTACAATACGGAGAGATTTGAATATTGGGCCACATTTTTTTTTTCCTATTTATTGCTTAGTCAACATGGATTTATAAATTTATTGAATTCAAAAAATAAAATGGTCTAATAAAATTCTCCCGTCCACATGAGTTCTCTCATCTTGAATCACTTTCTTTGATGATTTTCCTTAATTCTTTATTTTATTTCCTTTATATTTCTCTCGGCATTTTTAATAATATCAACAAATAATTTATACCGGCTTAAATAGAGTTTAAATATGAAAAAAATATATATATAAATCTCGAGCAACGTACATTGTACACATGGAAAGGGTATGAAAGTCAATTCAATAAGACTAAGTTATACGCATGGAAAACTGATTACGTCTCTTTTCGTGTAATCACTGAATTTTATAAAATATGTGAGATGTGATTGTATTCATGTTTATTCGAATATTGGAATCATGGCTAAGGTTTATGCCCAGCTCCAAGAATATTCTTTTGGTACCTTGCTGGACGACTAGACATGGTTAACAGGTTGTGGGGTCCGTTCTGATACATATTCTTCTGAATTTCAATACACCACCACAGCAGGCTAGTTTGGGGTCCCAGTTACTAAGAATCAATTGTCTTACTATTGGTATTTTATAAATTTTTTACTCTAATATCATACTGTTATGCTTTTTAATGTATTATTTAGTCGGGATACCAATTTTACCAAATTAAACTTTTTAACTTTCGCATGTTGCATAGGATGGAACACCATATTCAGTGCATGAAAAACGGAATTTTACATGAAGAACATATATTATATTTACAAATTTTATCTACAATTTAGAATGTAATACATTATCGTGCCTTAAATTTTAGTTAAAAATAGATAAAAGGACACAATTTAGACGGTGTCCCTTTGAATGTTAGAATGTTTGTAACAGATTCCTGAGGATTGTCATATGTTACCTCTTATATGCCCTTGCAAGCGAACCGTGTCGGGTTGAATGCTGAGTTTGTCTCTAATACTCCGTTTGGTACGAAAGAAAAATAGAAGGATAAAAAATTGAAAAATGAAAAGTTAAAGGATAAATAAAATATCATATTTGGTAAGGATGGAAAAATAGATGAATTGACTTTCCTTCTGACTCACCAAAATTAATCCCTCCAAAATCGAAAGTAAAGAGGATGCAAAGTTAATTATTTATATTGAAATGTATTTTATTTGTCTATATATTATGTATATATTAATTTTATATAAAAATACAATGATATATATATATAAATAAAAATAAAAAATTAAATAAAATATATTTTTCATCTTAACTAGAAGTGAAATTTTTTGATTCAACGCGATGACACGACTCGAACTCGACAACAATTTTATGACACGAACTTGATTATAGCTCCACAAGAACTTGAAAATGATCTAACACGCGAATAAAAAATATAAAAGGCTCATAACTTTATAACTCAACACGAATCTGACATGATAAGACTCAATTATCACCCCTAATATTTGACAAAAAATATTAGTGATTTTAATTTTCCATCTATCCAACCAAACATAAAAGAAGAAAAATATATCATTCTTACTTTTTATTTTTGAATGATAAAAAATGTTCCTTCCCACCAAAACGGAGCACGAGGAAAAAAAAAATACAAAGGATAGAGGCTTAGCGAACACATCAACAACTTGGTCCTTAATAGAAATACAGCGAACTTCAAGATATTTGGCAACAACCTTTTCATTGACAAAGTGAAAGGCTATTTTGACGTGTTTCATTCGATTGTAAAGTTTCGTTTGATATAATAAAAAAATAGAAAGATGAAAAATTAGAAATATAAATAAAATATTATATTTAGTAATAAAAAAAAAAAAATGGATAAATTAACTATTCTCCCAACTAACTAAAATCAATTCTTCTAAAATCAAAAGAAAAATAAATAAAAACTTTGTAAGATAAAATCATCTTGTTTGTCGTAAGTTAGGTAGCGTCTATGTTGTCACGTGGTAAGTAAGACTCATAATTTACATCAAATATGTATTGACTGAGTCACGTGCGTTCTCAGTAGGTTCAAATTGATACTTTGAACCATGTTTACTTACTGGTGATGTATTATTTCCTTACATTTTGAAACCGTACACATAATCTAGTTTTGGACAAAACTAAAACTATAAAGTTTTTCATGTATGTTAACAAAAAATGGGAGTCCCCTCCCAAATTTACACTTTAAATGATGAAAATTCCTCCAGCAGCCTCTACCCGTAATTAGGCCTATCAATCGTGTTGGGTGATATAAGATCGTGTTAAATGATACGGGTTTGTGTAAAAAAATATTACCTCTGTACTCGATTCGTTTATTAATTCATATTTAACGAATTGTATCTTATGAAGTTCATGTCGTGTATAAAATATGTATAATCAGTATATATATGAGTTATATCATTGTGTATTTCTTTTAATTGACTTTTCCTATTGTTTATTAATTGTGTCGTGTCGTGTTGGGTCTACTCATTGACGAAAATGGTGGCTTAAAGGGGATTTATATATTCTAATTTTATGTTGTATTCGTGTTGTGATATTGGATCCTGTTATATTTTGACACCTTTACACGAGAGAGAGAGAGAGAGAGAGAGAGAGAGAGAGAGAGAGAGAGAGCAATTCTAAGACTTTGTAGGTGTGCCGGGCCTCTGCAACGGGCTGGCCCGGCCCGACATTTTTCAGCCCATAGCTTGCCCATGGGCTGGGCCTCTGGTTTTGACTAGTCAATGAACCAGGTCTGGCCTCGCACATTAGGAATTTTTAAGGCCCATGGGCTGGCCTTGGGCCAAAAATGGGATAAATATGGGCTGGGCCTTGTGGTAGGCCTAACTCGTATTTAGCCCATTTTTGGCCCAATAGATGGTCAGGTCATTGGGCTTGAAACTGATTTTTTATTAAAAAATTACTTTTTATGTGAAAAAAAACAAAAAAATATCGAAAAATTTATTTTTTATATATATAAAAAAATTAAATTGCATGAAATTGGTATGAAAAAATAAATTAACAAAAAATTATTCATATTGATTGAATTTAACAAATATTCATATAGAGTTACAATGTTACTTTAGAAATTGATTAGTGGGTGAGACTATTTTGTACCACTACAAATTAAGTACATCCTAATTAGGTTGACACCTACACAATTGTTAATTATTTGCAAGTCTCAACCTATAAAAATTATAGATCAAATATCAAATAAACAATACAATTATGAAATATAATCTAATTATTTTATTGAGCTAATGGGCTTGTTAATGGCCCGACCCATCGACCCCTGGCCCAGACCTTACCCATCGGGCTAGCAAGTTATCCAAGTCCTTCCACGTGTACGGGCCAGGCTGCCCTTTAACCTATTGGGCGGCCCATTAGACTTTGGGCTTTTTTGGTGAGGCCTAAGGATAGTAGGCCTTCTAATATCTCAAATTGTTTGGGCCAAATTCAGAGTAGAGCCCTTCCAAGGCTCGGTATATGTTTGGGTCTACTACAAACCAAAGTCAAGCCAACCTCCACCATCCATGAATAATAACGGGTCGAATAATAGGGCTCATGTAGGGTTTTCTGGGTAGGGTAACTTCGCCCAATAACGGCAGTTTTGAAGGCCCATATCAGCACACATCATTTTTCATTAAATGGCATTGTTTTACAATCTTAGGCCGTCGTATTACATATTACTCCCCATTCCTTTCTTGTCTCTTTCTTTCTTGTCCCGACAGTTTAACATCCTATGCTATATTTTGAGGGAGAACATTTTCATTCAAGGAAAAGCACTTATTATCTTCAAAAGAAAATCGTTTATGGTGAATCTCCAATAAAATTACTTTAAAATAAAAATACCCAGATAATCATTGCATATCAACAATAATTTGATGCAAAAATAATCTTAATGTTTGGGCCCACCCCCGGGGAGCCGCGCTCTCACATTTGTCCGTTTCTCTAAACTTAATTACATATAGAGTGGTACAAATATGCATACATGTAAACTAGAGGGGTGATTAAAAAAGAGTGGAATATATGAGAGGCAAACCAGCGGGAGACAAAGTAGAGTGGTTATGGACAGTTAAGTATGATTAAATGCAGGGTCCTAATTTAATACGATTATTGACTAAACGGTGATTCTTAATGTTAGATGAGTTCTCATATAATCCATAAATTATAGTTGATTAGATCTCCCGATTATGTTCAAATCACATTTTTATCTTTGAAAAGACAAGAAGGCATCATCTATATTAGATGGAAGCTCCTATGCATTAGATTTTTCTATGCACGCCTCTATCCCGCAATGTAATTTGAACTCACAAAATAATCTTCGAGTTGCGAAAACATACTCTGAACATGTTCTATCTTTTTTTCCATATGTATTTCTAGAAGTTCTATAAAACTGTTTGAAGTTACATACCAAATGTGATCTAAACACAATAACATAACATGTTCTTATGGTGCCATCAACTGCCTGACACTACCCCCTCAATCCTCCACCACCAAGGCAACCATTCACCACCACCATCATATTACATGAAGGATTGTTCTTCTCCAACCAACAATGCCTTGAAGATAGCTTCGCAGTAAACACTGTCATGAATGATCAAATGCCCACCACCAGGGACTTCATGATACCGAATCCAAGGCAGCTTCTGAGAGATGGATCGTTGCAGTTCAACCGGTGCCATCCCATCTTCGTCGCCTTGCCAGAGATGAACGAAGCCCTCACCGTCCGAGAATCCATTTTTCAACTCCGTTGGGTCGAACTCCCATTTTCCACAGAACACTAATATGTCTCGATAAAGGGATTCATAGACACCTTGCTGTTGTACCTTATGCTGCAGAGAAAGGAAATAGTATGATATGATCTAATTTGTTAATCTAATGACATGACAATGATATGTTCTAATATTAAATCTAAATAGCTAGCATTCCTCGAGAATTTAAAGCAGATAAATTGTAGATGACAGAATTTGGTGTAATGGTAAGAATGTTCAATTATAAAACGATACCACCTTTTAACAGATGTTTGATTTAAATAATTTTTCCTTACACGGGGTGAGGCTATCTACATGTTAACCCTTCCCAAGTCTTATAATAATGGGAGACTCGTGTAGTATTGTGATTGTCACGAAAATAAATCTCTACAAACAAGCTAAAACTTTGTATATATATCTCATGCCTCGTTTATAATATATATGAACTATAGAATGATTTGAAGCCAAAAAGAAAAGGTAAAAGGCATTTTAGTAACATTGAAAGGCTTACAGCATCAGTAGAAGGAATTTGAGACATCTTCATGAAGATTTCTCTATCAGATTTGTTATAAACTTGTGGGTTTCTTTCCATAAACTCCTTTAGAGACATCATAGAAGATGATGGCAACCAGTTTTGCAGCATCCAGAACAGCTTGGGGGCATGGTGTGCAATGAGAAAACCCCATTGATCCCTCAGAAGTAGCTTTGTGAAGGCTTCATTACTGAGTTTTGAAGGCAAAGAAGACCACCAGAGATTAATGACTGGAGAAACTAAGGCCACACCAGCTAGCCTGCAAAGGGTGATTCGAAGCATATTATATATATATTTCAGTTTCAACCGAAATACGGGTTTACTTTTGAAGTAAAAAAATTACACTTTAACCCCTCAACTGTACTCATATCTCATATTGCCGCCTCAACTAATATATTTTTTACGTTGCATCTCCAATAATAGTTATTGATCACCTATCAAAATTCTTCACATTACACATCTAACTATGACTCTTGGCTGAATTTAGACACTGAAAGCATATATTTTGCTTCGATAGAATTTTTATGTCCAAAACATAAGTAACGTTTAATTTTGAGACAGTGAGAAATCGAGGAGAGAGAGAGAGAGAGCCTGTGTGGTATGTATCTGAGGCAACCCCAAGTGGAGCAAGTTCCAATGGAGAGGCCAACCACATAAAACTTAGGCCCTAGCTGAAGCTGATCAGCAAGCTCCTGAATATCAAACGCATCGCTCTTCACTGAGCGTTTTGGGTTTGGATCACTTTCTCCATAACCAGCTCTGTCATACGTTACAACATATACATCCAGATCGTCCAACTGTCCCTGAATATGGCATAATTAAGCAATTAACTTTTCTTTTGTTCCATATATACTGATTAATCTGTCCAATTAAGTTCGTTGGGTTAAGAATGAAGTTCATACTTGAGAAAGAGGAATGTAAAGGTCCTTGCTGCTGTTAAAACCATGAGAGATGATGACTTTGTACTTGGCTTTTTCCTTTGGAACACCTCTCTCTTTGTAAGACAAGTATCTTCCATCACTGAGTCTGATTCTGGGTGAGGTAACCGGGGGACCATTTGGTGACCCACATAGCTTTGGTGGAGGAGGCTTTGTGGTCTGATAAGCCCATATGAAGACAGCCACAACCACCATTGCTGCTACCTCTGTAAACATCCCTTCAGTAGAATGAAAAACTCTGAGTCACCATCCAGTGTAACAGAGCAGAAGGAACAATGGCAGATTTTAGCAGATATATAAGATTTCTTAAATCTCGAAACAATCTAGCGAGAGAGAGAGGGTTGGCACTTATAACTTCCTGTGCATTTTTATTTTTATTGGCTAAGATTTATAATTTAATTAAGTTAAGAATGATTTAGTATCGATCCGTCAGTAAATCTCATTGATTAGTAATTTTGATCTCGCTAAATTACAACTTACCTTAGCTAGTGGTAACTTTTTTGGATTAGATTTTTCCGCACAAAGCATGTTCAAACAATGGTTAATTGATCAAATGCTAATGAATGCGTACGTTTTCTAGAAATGCATTTAAACAGACACTGGATTCTGGTAATATGCATACTATGAGATTACATATTGTATTCCAATAATAAAAGTGTATGATTCATTACTGATGATGATGAATTTAAGTCTGGGCCACCCATTTTGAGTTTAGAACGTCCAGAAGGACCCGCGAAGGCAACCCAAGTGGCCCATTTACATGAAGCCCGCCATATGCAAGCCTAGGGTCGTCCAACTCGGATCTAGCAAGCTCAATGATAAGCACCTGGTCAAGAATATGGAGCTCGACATGAGATGGATCTCTAGTAACCCCAACGCGCCACGTGGCCAGAGGATAATACTTGACAATTCTAACGAATAAATATTCCTTGATAGAGGAAGTATCACATACATTCCGTTTCAAGGATAGTGGGCATAAAAAACGTTAGGCTGGCAGACCCCCGCTATAAGATAAATGAGGAGGGGACCGCAGAATCATCCATAAAATAAATTATAGAAACCCTAGGACTAAGGGGTATAAATAGAAGACGAAATCACTGTAAAAAAGAGAGAGTTCCATAGGCTACCTAAGAAATACTTTGTAAAAAGTTCTCAACCAAATCTACTGTAACTGTTACATTCTTCTTCAAGTAATATAATGGATGTAGTCTTGATCTTTTAGATGAGGTGAACCACTCATATTACTACTTGCATCATCCTCCACACGCTAAACACGCTCTTACTCACAAAGCCTATCTAGGTCACATCTCATTCTGTTTTGCAATCGGGTAGAAAGATTTCGAGCATCATAAATTATTATTTTCTCCCTTCAATCATGTTTCTTGTTGTAATCAATTTCCTGTGGATTCACATGTTGTAATTTGCCCCCTCAAGGTTTCAAGCGAATTAAATTGACTGACAACAATAATTGACACATAAAAGTACCATTACACCCCCTCCATCTTATACATTTTGTCATATTTTTTTTTCTTGAGATACCAATTCTTTCCCTAAAAAAAAAACATAAAAGCTAAGAAAACATAAATCTATTATACCAACACAAACACACTGTACAATAACATGTTCGCCTTCACATTCGCCTCTACCTCCACCTCCACCTCGACCCAACACAGATACACTTTTTAGGGATAATTGTGTTTTTTTAACAAAATAGAAATCACATGAATTTTTCATGTTTAACTTACGTCATGTTTTATGGTCTAAAATTAACTGTAAGAGTTAATTACAAAATATTTAAATTTTAAGGGGGGCAATTTGTTAAAATTAAAACATAAAGGGTGAATGAGAAACTATTCAAAGTTGAAGGGGATATTTTATAATTAACCCTTTATAAAATGAGAAATCTCATTAACATTTGACTGATCCATATCTCTTTTAATATATTTTTTCTTAATTTTTCATAAATTTAATGAATTATCTTTAAATTTTTTGAAAATGTGCTAAGAGCGAACCTATAAATTAAGGGTTTTTTTGGGTGTGGATATATTTTGTAAGACTTATTTAAGAGAAAGTGTATTGATAGTTTTTACTCTATTAAGTTCACTTTTACTTAAATTTCTTATTATTAGGTACGCCAATTCAGTTTACATTTTATTTATATTACTTATTTATCCTTCTTTAAATAATGCATAATTGATTTCTAGTTATTCTCTAATCAAATATGTTAATATTTGATTATTTTTTATCATTCATGTAAATTTGGAACATTTATTCTTATTTTCTTACTCACTCTCCATCTCTCCCTATTTTTTCTCACTGTTACTCTTTCTCTCCCAATTTCTCTCTCTCATCTCTCTCCCTATACGGTACTCTCTCACTCTATCTCTCCCTTATTTTCTCTTTCTCTCTCACTATCTTGCCCTCAATTTTCTCTCTTTATTGCGTATTTTAGGTGCAATTACTCTCTCTCTCTCTTCATCCGAAGAAATTATAACTGATTGATATATTTTTTTAAAATATGTAAATATTTGACATAATCGAATATTAACGTTGCAACAAGCAGTTTCACTGATTTGAAAAAAAAAATTACACTTGCGCTATGATACACCATAGAAGTTACACATGCGTTATGATAGACCAAATAATTAAAGCAAACAGGAACACGAAATGACGACACCATAGCCAATGCATCATTCAGTTGTTTATATAAACTAAAATGTTACACCAGTCAGTATCACTATATTGTTACAACAAGTATATACACTAAAATAGATGAACTAAAAAAACACACCAAAAAGGTATATCATATAAGGACACCAAATAGATAAATCAACGACCTATACATGTAAGGTAGAATTAAGCCAAACTACTACACTTGATAGCTGCACCATTCAATAATATCAAATAGTTACAATGACAGCGTATATCAAATAGTTTCACCGTCAACTATTACAAATTAGAGCTTTTAAGTTACAAATTGTTTTACTGTTGACGCGATTTTATGATACTGTGAAACTTTGACATGACAAGCATTGCATTGCATTTAAATGAATGTATTCGTATAGTGGAAAAAATGTATAAAAGTTTGAGGAAAAGTACAGAGTCCTAAAGGTTTAGGGACGTAAGGGTAATTATCTAATATTTTCTCGCGAGTCATGTATGGTATAGGCTAAAAAATTTGTTTGACATGCATAAATTTTTATTAAAGAAGAAGGCAAATAATATTGGGATCAAAAGCAAAAGTAAAGTGAGATATTTAATATTCGTTTTAAGGATCACGGTTGAACGTTTTTAAGAGATGTAATTTGGATATAGGTAGATATTCATAGGTGCTTATATATAGATATTTAATATATACTAGTAATACACGTCGTGCATCTGTACATAAATAAATTTAACTAATATTTTTTTTTATAAAAAAATATGAATTATATGTGTAATTAAATTAAATAATAAATTAGGTGTCGAAAATTTAATTTATATTTAATTATTGTTAATTTTAATTAATTTATATTATATAAGTCTTTAAGTACCTAATCTTTAATTTATTTAGATATCTCTCCGATTCCTTTTGGCATTTACACATTTAATTATAATAGTAATGAAGGACATGCGTTACACGCAAATAAATTTAAATAATATTTTTATAAAAAACATGAATAAGATAAATCTTTAAATACCTAATTTGTCATTTATTTAAGTATCTCTCCAACCTCTTTAGGCATTTACACATCTAATTATATTATAAAATTAATAATTTTTATTTTGTTAAATATATTGATTAGGTCGCTTATAATAATATTATATTATTGAATACAAAAACTAAAATATAAATATATAATGACTACATGTGTGTGCATAATAAATGCAAAATACAGTGAAAATAAATAATAAAGTGATTCAATTCATCGACTTAATGAATATCCGAAGAATAAACTAAATACCACCAATATCATTACTAAACTCATGTAAAACAATAATTAAATCATAAGGTTCATTACTCTAAACATAAACAATATTGTTCCTCAAATAATTAAATATTTGTCTCAAAACTATAAAAGACTTTTATTCCTGAAGACCTACAATAAAAAAAATCTTCAATTCCTCTAATCCTTTGTCTATCTATGAACTTATTCCTCACCCTGATCCTCACCTGAAAAATGTTAAATATTTAGATGAGCACAATAACTTGTGAATAGCAACAACCTCTAATGAGATGTGAAAATAATTCCCAGAGTTTATATACAAAAATAAATTTTGATACACACATAAGTACAACAAATTGTACCCCACCCCCTCTCACATAATCATTTAAATAAAATAATTTTATGATCACAAATAACTTTATAAATGAAAAAATATTTATAACTCAAAACATTACTCATTTTCATAAATAAGTTTATAAATGAAAAAACATGTATAACCTAAAACACTCACACACATATTCAATTCCAAATACATTTGTCAAATTATGTTTGTTACCACTAGCTTGGTAACTGACCCAGTCTCTTGTTATTATTAACTTGGTAATTGGCCTAGTCTCTTGTCATCACTAGTCTGATGACTGACCCCGTCTCTTGTTATCACTAGCCTGGTAACTGGCTCAGTCTCTTATTATCACTAGCCTGATGATTGGCTCAGTATCTTGTTACCACTTAGACTTGGTAACCCCAGTCTCCATCTCATAAACATGATTTTCACACACACAAAAATTATATTTTTAATCCCAACGAACACAAAATTTCTCTTTCATCACCAAAGCAATGATATAAAATTATCTAATAAATTTTTCAAAATTTACATGTAGAACAGTTCACATTTTTAAAATATTTAATTACAACCCAAAAATCAACACATATATCATATATATGAAAAATTCACATGCACGCACGCACCCACACACCCACACATTATAAAAAATCCTCCCAAAAGAAGTAATAACTATTTACCTTGATTCTCAAAATTCAATTCAATGCCTTCTTTCTTAACCTCAATGCAATCATCACCTAATCCAAAATAACATATAATGATCAATCCATATTCTTAACTTCGTCATTTCGCAATTTTATATTTATTTTTTATACTTCTTACACATTGATATATATTTTATATATCATTTACATAGAAATAATATTTTTAATGTGAGCTAATATGGTATGGAAGTAATCTAGGAAGTTTTTAAAAAGTTTCTAAAATTTTGGGGTCAAATCATAATT